TTCTCACTGGAATCTTTAGTACATAAAGCCCAGGTCTCACTGCTGCAAATGTGACCATCAAGAGACTGCTATATTCACATTTTGTGAAGAAGACTAACTTGTGTTTGCTGTGAAGTAGAATACAATCTGGCTTTGCCAGCTGAGAAGTTTCATTCCTAGAGTTCAGCTTTTCTAAGGAAGAACTGCCTCTTTCTTTCTTGTTGTGAACACCCATTTATAGTGGAGCATATTTAGATGAGGAATACTGGTAACTGTTTTATGTAAGTCAAAAGAAAATGTAAGGATTACTTATCAGTGTGGAGCAAATGCTGTTTGATTTAACATGTATTTTATAAAACTAAGAGTTTACCTAACTTTACCATGTTCAATTGGAGTGATTTTTCTTGGTATTAGAAGTACTACCCTGGTATTTGTATAACAGATTAGTTTGCCAGAAGGGAGATGAAAAACTGTGAATAGCAAAAAGGATTACTCTTTATAAATATTACTGTTAAAGAATGTCATTTAATTCTGTGCTTTAATAAATTATTCTAAAATGTATTTTATTACCATAATTTATTAAACAATAAGGAGACATTTTGGCTGGAAATACTGATAACATCTCTATAGTACCATATTGGGATAGTCATTTTATTTTTCTGACACTCTAGATAATTAGGAATTATAAATTATGCTTACACTCTTAAACATGCTAGCTGGAGAGTGTAAGAGACTGTATGTTGTTTTTGGTGCCAGTTCAGCTCCGGATTTTCAAAACTCCTGGCACAGAAATGAATGCTGATTTTCAATTTCTAGAAGTAAAATGGATGTGTATTACTCACCTGAGAGATTTAGGTGAAGACCTTGCCACCTGCTTGCATGTCTGAGTGAAACTTACTTCATGATTGTCACTGAAAATGTTTTTACCTGCTGTTTTGCTGGCATCTTAGCCTTGCTCCTAGAGGTCAGGTGATCACGTTTCTTGCAAAAACAATAATATTGATTTTTAGCAGAATCACTGGGTAGCTAAAGTAAATTTCTTCTGTTCATCAGATTTGATTTTTCCATAGGGAATTTCGAGGATAAGAATAGGTAGCTTTCACAGGCATGGATAGACCTGTGTGTGGTATCTAATAAAAGATATATGACAACATAGAGCTTCAGGTCTGTCCACACAGGCTGCTGCATAAATTCTTGCACCTCTTGATTTACTTTGTCCATTCCAGTGAGGCATTGTATTTTTTCAACCTATATCTTCCTTAGAGAAACTATAACTTTGGCGGTATTCTAGGCCATACACAAGTAAAAGAGGCTGCCTCGGTTTTTTTAGATGCTCTGTCAGAACCTGTACCTCTATTTTGCATGTTAATAATGCAAAGCATTGGGTTTTCCTTCTGTATTAAAGTTAATTACTGAGGTTGTAGACAACCTTGTAGCCTATATATTGGTAGAGCATAACATTTCAGTACTACTTTGCTGAACTCTTGTTAACCCAGATGCCTGGTAAAATGCCTCTGGTTTATATATTTGAGATTATTACTGTTCAAATTATCCATGTTTATAAACACAGATAATGTGCCAACACGCTCCAGGAGAATGTCTGTGCAGGCAGGTGCAGATAGATGCAAGCTCCCTCTGCCTGTGATCTGAACATACTATATGTGAGCCAGTCTGGAAACCACTAGCCTGCTATGTGACACTATGCCCAAGCTAAAATGCTGTGTGTCTTAGGTAAATGAGGCTTTACAGCTTCTGAACTGAAGCTGACTTGCATTCAGGAGGCTTCAAAATCATAGACTGTGTGTTTGCATTCACCTGCCCATCTGTATGGATGTATTTATCATTCCATATTGCAGTTGCAGGACTTCATTACAAATCCCCATCCTTGTTCTTATACAGTTTTCACTGACATTTGTTATAAAGATTAAAAAACAAAATGACCAATAGCATGAAATATTGGTAGCTGATTCAACTGTCTGTATGTGCTGGGGGTTGGATTCTGGTCTTTGGCTGTCTTGGTAGTGCATTACAGTAGAGCCATATGGCAGCAGATATTTCACGTGATTGTAAGCCATCATTTTCTGGAAGGGTTTAGTATTTATTGGAATTGTTTGTTGAGACTATGCAATATTTTACCAATAGCTGTGTACTGAAGGAATTGTTGTGTCAACCACATGGCAGTTGAGTAAAAAAAAATTGTTAGGTTTCAATAAAATACTGACTTACAAAAATATTATAATATCTTCAGATTGGCTTTCATAACCCCTCTGTACCTTCAGCTGAAAAAGAGGACATTTATAGTTTCCAAAATCTTGTGTCCTTGAGGGTTGCAGAATTTTCAAAGTGAATTGCCTGCTCTTCTCCCCCATGAGAGTTTTTCCCCCCATCTGCTGCTTTAAAGTGGGACTGGTGTGTCAGAAGGCTTTGCATAGTGTTGCACAGATACACTGTCATGATTACAAGGACCATATGGCTATTTTGACTGTCAATACAAAAAAGATGGAATCCTATTATCAAATATTGAAATGGTACCTGATGTCAGTATTCCTCACTGTCTTTCTCACTGTCAGATTTTTGTTTTCAAAGTCAGTTTTTAAGTACTATAAACTTGGAAGAGGTGAAAATTCAGTACGCTTCCATTTAAATTCAAGCTTTTTTAGAAACTTTATTCTGTGTATGACTTTTGACAGCTGGACTAAAATTTGTGTTAGAAAATCAAATAACATTATATATCCCTAGAAACCATTTTGGTGGGAAGAATTTAGCATGAAATATGCCTATGAGAATTAATGCATGGAATTAACCTAAGCATAAATGAAAAACATTGAATTTCTGAGTTGTTTACTTATTTGCATCCTGAATGAGTTGGATTTGTGATGGTGATGTCAGTATACGTCTTCAGATATTAATCAGGTATATCTTAAAACTGTTAATTATAACTAATTATAATTCGTTTGGAATAAACCAATTTATATTTTGCTATTTAGCAGAGGGTGCCTACTTTACAGCAATGATTACCATGAATGAAAGATTAGGACCATATCCTGCTTATTTTAATTTCAGACGGAGAAAATCTTTGTTTTATGTACCCTGAAAACAAAGAGAACAAACCTAAAAGCTGAGTCATCGTTATTCACGATTTTAATAAACACTGCTGTCAGATAAAAGTAGAAGAACTAACCTAACCTTATTTAATTTAGAAGAGTATTTTATGCAATAAAGCAATCTGCTGTTTCTTTGGCTTTAAAGTCACAGCATTCCTGTTGCCAACCCTTTCTGTCAGAAATGTTCTATTATCACCCCTAGCACTCCCAAAAGAACCTGCTTGGGGAGGCTGGGCACATTTCTAAAACAGAAAAACAGAGACTTGTATATAAAAGATAGTGCAGAAAGAAAAAAAGTTGAATTTGTGTTACATTTTTCTTTCCATTGAAGACAGATGCTAAAAAGAGGCTGTGTTTAGATTTTCTATGGTGCGTATATTCCCTACTTTCTGCAGTCTGAGAGAAATGATTTAATAGAGTAGTGGATCTGCTTTCTTTTATTTCAGTGCATTAAGAAGTTAAGATTTTAATGAAAGCTTTATTGAATTGACAAGTTATTTGAGCACAAAACATGAAAAATGTTGACAGTCTGGTATGAATTACTGTACAGCATCCTTTATGCATTATTTTGAGATCTATAGAAAGTAAAATACCTACATCTAACCCTACAGATACGTGACTCCTTAATGTATTTTTTTTCTTAATATCTGCTATTCAAAATGAGATCTTTTTATTTAAATTAAGACTGCTGAAGACTTATGGCATCCTCTTTTAAACATCCTTTAACCATGATTAGAGTAAAGAAGACAGAATAATAAATGACACTATTTAAGAGTATGAATAAAATGCAACTGTTTATCTAGAATTGATCCACATCTCCTAACTTTGAAAGTAAAATAAATGCATTGTTTTCCTTTGACTCCATCAGAAATATTGTCCTTTAAATATTTACATTAATACCTTAGGAATTTTGAAATAAAAGTGAAATAGCTTTCTTGACATTGTTACTGGCAAGCAGAAGGATTGCAAGAATTCCAAACTTTTAGCTCACCTTGGATATATGAAGTTCATGAGCCATATTCTTACATTTATTAGCAGTTGGAACCTAAGGTTAATTTATGGCTCATTTAATCATGTTTATTTTGTAATGATTGATCTTATGTAGTTCTCAAAAAAGGCATAGGCCATAACATATTCCAAAACTTATCAAGTATTATGTTCTCTTTTTTAGCTGATAAGTCATAGTCTGTCATCGAATGCACTGCAGAAAGTGAATATTTCATTTATTTAAGAAAACAAGGGACAGATAATGATATTACCAACATGAGCATTTCAGAGCATAAGAAATAATAAGATCTGTGCTTCCAAATGATGTTGTAGAACTTACTTTTTTCATGTGTCTTCACAAGCTACAGTGTGACCCTCCTGGCTTCTATGTAATTCTATATGTCTCTGAGTGCTGTAATAGTAATAAATTCATAGGAAAACATCTGTGAAAATGTGTGGAAGATGTTCAGAGATTTTTCTACTGAGGCTTACAGGCTCCCAAATAAACAAGACAACTTAAATTTTGTATCACTTTGCTATTATGATTCAATCGTTCCAATTGGAATAGTTCACAACAGATTTATCTAGAATATTATCGAATTCAGGTAAGTAAATTTAAAAAAAAGCGAATACCGAAGATTTTTTAGATCAAAGTAATTGAAATAATTATTATTAGATGTCATGTCAGAATAAACAGAAACTCACTGAGATAAATGTGTTAAGAAGTATGTAAATTATGAAAAAATGAATAAAGATAATTTATTTTTGCTGATAATTTATTTTATTAATTGATTGTACTTAACATTATTAATTCTACAAGGAGTTTTCAGAAATTATTTGACTATTTTCTTGTGGTTAAAAGGAGCATTTCATGTAGCATTTTTATTCTGTTTTATGGAGAATGTAACAATTGTTATTTTATTTTATCAGACAGGAAGCATTGCTTGCTGCAATTAGTGAAAAGGATGCAAACATTGCCTTGCTTGAACTGTCTGCTTCAAAGAAAAAGAAGACACAAGAGGAAGTAATGGCTCTTAAAAGAGAGAAGGACAGATTAGTACATCAGTTAAAGCAGCAGGTGGGGAGAAATTCATTTTCATACTTTTATGACAACTGAGAAGTGACATTATTTTCATTTGTACTGTTTTCTTCTGACACTGTATTGAAAGTTCTCAAACCAGGTCTGATATGTGACAGCAATTGTGATAAGTAGGAGATGTGAAATGTAAATGTTTCTGTGTTGCTCAAGATCTCTCCACTCTGTTGGCACATTCTAACCTTTTTGCTGTTTCGTTTTTTGCTTATCTGTTGTTGAATTATTGTTATGAGTTTATTTTTCAGAAGGCGCCAGGCTTTCTGCAAGGTTATCTGGAAATCATGATTATTCTTAAAATGCTCAAATGAGGTTTTTTGTTTGTTTGTTTGTTTGTTTAAACCATAAAGATATTATTGCGATACACTCAAAACTTTCAGAACTTTGTTCTGCCAGAGTATGGCAACAGCAGAAAAGGATTGCCAGAGAGACATTGTGTGTGTGATAACTTCAGCTAGAACTGCAATCAAATACTTCAAATACCTCCATTATTTATAGTGATAAAGATCTTCACTAATGCTATTTAACTAGATTAAATTAATGCCAAAATAATCTCTTTTATCTCAGACACTGAAAAAAAAAAAAAAAAAAAAAAAAAAGAAAGAAAGGAAAGAGACACCAGGAATAGGAATGTAGTTTAACTGGGTCACCACTTTATTACACTTCAGAATTATCTGATAGTAGGAGTTGTAGAGATCATTCATGCTTCCTTAATCCCTTTAGAGAGAAGCACTGTTAAGCCCCACAGGTTTCACATGTGCATCCAAGAGCAAGGCTTGTAAGTGCTACTTGTCCTTGTTATGATTGTTCTGTAGGAAAAAATGACAGATTTCATATTGCATGATATCTCCACTCTACTTCTCAGTTTCTCTGAGAGATGCCATTTCTTAATCTGTGTCTGAAGCACTTTTATCAAAGAGCTAGAACCTCAGTGATTGACCAACTGCAGCACTTTTTCTGTTCTAATTTTCTGGCCTTTTAGCAGTTCAAGCAGAGTGTAAATGATAAGGATTTTGATGTAACTTGTAACTCTTCTCACTGAAAAATGAAAAGAATAATCTTAAAAATGAAGTATGTTGCCTCTGTAGGAGAATGAGAATATGTGTTATTTACTTTAAATATGAAATTACAGGCATACACACATGAAAGACCAAAATATTATTGTGCTGATAAATTGAGCGGGCTTGTCGTAGGTTGTGGCTGCATGAGTTGAAGAATGATTTGTCATTTCTAGGCTGAAAGAAATGCATTGATTGTGACTTCTTTTTACAGGTTTCATCAGAATACGTTTTGATAACCTCAGAAACTTTTTTTGTATTGCAGTTGTCCACCTAAATTGCTGCTAGTGATACTGATCTCTGTGATGCAAACAACTTTGCATAAAATGTGCATATTTAATTGCAATGATTTAAGTACAATTTAGCAGCTGCAATCTTTCAGTAAAGCATCTATTGCTTAGTGTTTTAAATATATAGAAGTATAGTATGCATCCCCAGCAAAACAGAGTCGCTGGAATTGTTTTGATTCATATACCAAGTGCTGTATTTGGAGAGCCACAGAACTTTTTGGTAGGTTTAAAAGATCTCTCAGTAATACGGTATTAAACAAGATCACCACATGGGCTTGGCTGAGTGATTACACAGTGTTTCTAATCACCCTGGCCAAGATTCCTTTGGAGAATATTGAGACAGCTATTTTTAGAGAAATGTGTATAGTGATGCAATCCCTCATGAAACAATTAGCTTAAAGCCCATTTTTAGAACATCTCAAGAGATTTTTGTAGGAGCATAATGCACTGCTGTGTTATTGATTCATTCTGAACTTGGATACTGTAAGGAAATTTCCCAGTTGCCTCTTTTCACTTTTGGGATATAGAGCCAAAAATGTAAGTGGAGTTTGCCAAAATGCAAGGTCTTCTAACTCCTTGAAAGCATTTTATTTTTCTTCCCAAAACATGAAACTAGAAACCAGTCCAGCATTTGCAGGACTGCAGGTGTACAGAATACTCTGGCCAGAGGCAAAGTTGGTGTTTGGCAGAGTTCTCCAGTCTATTAGTTCATGACTATATTTCATCACATGAACATATTGCTAATGAAACAAAAACGGTGAGAAACAAACAAGGAATTTTAAAAATCTGTGTAACCACAGTTTCTCAACAAATTCCTTCTGTATGCAATACATCGGAGTATTTCTGACTAATTAACTTACAGATATTTCAAAGGAAGCTTTCAAGAGCAAAGGAGGGAAATGGAATTGAAGCCAGCATGTTGTATTATGTATATTGTTCTGGTTAAGAACATTAGGAATAGAGCTAATGTGATATTGTGGTAGTGACATCAAGCACTTAGGAAATTGCAAGTTATATTTTCTCTTTTAGATAAATTGGTTCATATTCCTACATACCATCATCACTGTATTAGAATTTTTATTTTATCTATTTTTATTGTGTACCACTAGAAGAAATGTAGTGATTTCAATGTAGGCTAGATTTTTTTAAGATACAAACTTAGAAAGGGGAGAGCTGGATTTGCCCAGGGATGCTGTGGAGTTCCTTTCTCTCGACATATCCAAGAACTTGTGCCTGGATATTTTCCTGTGCAACCTGCTGTAGAGAACCTGCTTTAGCAGGGCGTTAGATTAGATGATCCCTGGAGGTCCCTTCCAACCCCTATGACTCTGTGATTCTGTAGAATTGCAAAAATTACAATGAAATGAACTTTTCTGACATTTAGATATCAGTATTACAAACCATGTAATTGCAGTTTGAAAAGTTCAGCTTTGATACTAAAGTTTCTTTGATACTAAAGTTTGTTACTAAAGTTTCTAAAGTTCTGGTGCTTAAAAATTATGGGGAAGTGTCTTTACAATTGTTTCCTGTTTTAATACACAAATAAATGAAAAAAAGCCTGAAGTAAAAACAAAACAAGCAACAAGCCACCAAGAACTCTACCTTCTCATGCTGTTTGTCTGCTTTTAGTGGGACCTGGCCTGAGATGTCCTCAGGCAGCTGCTGTTACAGAGCTTTAATTATGCTTTTTAACCCACTTCTTTGTGTCTGCGTTCTTACATACTTCTGTGTAATTACTAGGTTTAGTAGTAGAACTCAGACAAATACTTTTAGCATGACTTTAGCCTATACATTACTTCATATGCTGTATTATTACAAGATATTTCCTGTGCTTCAAGCCATACTTTCAATTCACAGAACTTAAAAAGGCTTCAAATACATTAACTCTAAATGCAGGGACCACAACAGAGAAGGCAGAGGGACCATGTTGAAATCAGCACAACTTCAATCACAAGTGCAAGGAAAGTAGAAATTTACTCTTAGTACTCCAGATAAATGTCTGGTTGGCACTTGAAACTGCTGCCTCTTCTCATGCTGCCAAGCATCTGATATCCCAGCTGGTGTTTGTGAGAAGGCTATTATCCTTCAGCTCATGAAGAGAGAGGCTTACTATGAGCCCTGACTTCTTACAGCATAAGTCACTTAAATCCTGTAATCTTGCAAAGCATCAGGTCTAATGGCTGTTAATATCATTTAAATAGTACTGTAATTAATAATAAATTTGAAATATATGTGGAGCTTTTATGCTCACAGTAAACACTAAATTATCAGATCCAGGCTTTGTCAAGATATATATTGAAAACTGCTTTACATCTATTATTTTTTCTTAATTGTAAACAGATAGTTCGCATCTTAGTTACTTCTAGGCAGATAAATAGGTGGGATTTTTAGCTTTTTGTCTTTTCATGACTATTCATTTCTTTTATGCTACTCAGGCTTCATTTAGTCTAATATTTTATCTAGTATCCTTTATGTATCACATTACTTTACTTCACAGTGTGATACCATCAGAAAAATAATTAAAATTGTTAATCTTCCAACCTTCCTTGGCATTGCTTTTTGTAAAACCTGATTTTTTTTTAGGGTTGTTTTTTTTATTTTAACCTTTTCTCCAGTTCCCAGTATTATTTTTTTTTCTTAATTTCAGATACAGTATATTTTTAAATTTCTCTGACAACATTGCTGCACAAGAGTCAGAGCATCTAATTTGGCCAGCTTTTGTTGTTGTGTTTCATCTGGCAGGAAGGCTGGATTTCCTGAAAGCTTGGAAAATTTTTTTTGTACTGTGAAATTAGAGAGTGCAGACAAGGTCTGAAGAACAAGTGTTCTGGCTGCACATACTTCACAGATGATGAGAACTGTAAGATTTTCACATTAAACATCACACGATTTAGATTTAATACATAACTAGATGTAGATAGAAGAAAGTTTAAAAAAACAAAAAGTGCTTTCCTACCATAAGAATGTTAGTGTGTTCCTAACTTCATATGCAACAGTCATATCATGAATGAGGACAAAAAAATAGAAAAAATCTTAAGAAGTGGCCACATTTTTCTCCAGTAAACCATAACACACACTTTTAACCTGCATGCATCCTGTCTCTAATGCTTTCTCTAATGTTTCTAATGCTTTCAGGAAAATAAATACCATTTGAAATTTTAAGAGGGAAAAAAATTAAAAGGAGGACAAGAAAATAGCAAAATACAAAGTAGAAAATACAAAAAAAAAAAAAAAAGAAAGAAAAAAAAAGGACAAATATAATTAAGAATAAGGGTGTAAGGATAGGTTATATTACAGAGATGTTATAAAAGAAAATGCCTAATTAAAACTCTCCGTAAAGCATAGCTCCACCCCATAGTGATGCATTCTAATATCAGTACGGTTATGATTATGGTAGTTTTCTAGCATCTGGAATTCTGAGTTACAACACTATAATGTTCTTCATTATCCTTTTGTTGCTGGTGTGTGCTTGCAAACATATTCTTTGTAACTTACATTTTTCTGTTGGCATTTTCTTAGTGTATAAGAACTCACGGCATAAGCAAGAAAAGAAAACCAAAAACGATCTTGAATTTAATACTATCAGATATTTGTAACAATTGAAGACAATTGAAGAAGTATAACTTATTTTATGTAT